TCCCTAGAAAGTAATAATTTTAACATAACAATTCAATAAAAAATTGTAAAAGCTATGGGTTTTTTTCCTTAGCAATTCAACAATAAAAAATCATCAATCTTTATAATTTTAAAATTCATACCTGCCTTTTTAAAAGATAAGCAGAAACACTAGAATCTACTCCTCCTGACATAGCAACTATGACTTATATTATATTATCAAAAATATTATTTCAAGGTTTAATAATTTAATAAATTGGTTAATTTAACAAATGATTAATTACCTCTGTCCCCTGGTTGAGGTCTTCTAAGTTGACTTGACCATCTTTTAAATCTTTTAATATTATTATAAAATTGGTTATCACAAGATCGATTATTATAAAATTGTATATTAATTAAAAGTGGATAAATTCGAACGGAAGAAATAAATTGAAAAAACATGATGGTTTTAGAAATAATTTTTTTTTTGATAATCAAAATATAGATTATCATAAATTAGAAATTCCGTAAAAAGATTATATAATTAAAAACCAGCTTGAAGTCAAGTATCAATAGATAAAAATAGATAAAAATAAATAAACTGTAAATAATTAAAATTTGTTTTTTTATATATGGAAACGTGGATTCTAAAAGTTAGAATATTTTTAACATTTTTGGTAATTTAATATAGTCCGTTTCACAGCTGTCGAAATATCGATTTCTATTATGTTTGAATAAAACTGGATTACATTCTGTCCAATTTTTTTTCTGCCTCAGTAACAGCAATAAGGACTGTATGACATATCTTGATAGCACCCTTTCTAATAACTTCTGGGGCAGATTTTTATCTTTCCTCCATAACACGAAGCAATACCATAAATAACAGATGAAATTAATTCACATCGAGTTGCTTCATTTGCAGAAGGATATGTTTGCAAGTTTTATAATTTTTATTACATGATCTTTAGTATCAGCAAATCCTCCATAGAAGATATTCCGTGTAGAAACTCCGTAAATCTATATTGTAATATTAATTTACGCCTAATATAATTTCCTGTTATAATTAATAACCGAACTGTCTAGTGTACAATTTTTAAATATCCTAAAATTTTCATTTTATTTCTCAAAATTTGTTTGATTTATTTTCATCTTTTAACGCAACAACAATCTGTAAATATTTTCCAAGTAGTATTTCTTGACTTTTTGATCTGTAGTCCCTAATAATATTTTGACTTCCAGATTATTCAGATTATTTAAATTATTCAAATATTAATTTATCTCTTTTGATTTCTAAGATATGAGAGCAAATAAAATGATATAAAGCAAATAAAAAAAGCAGATACAATATTATATATTATTGCAATAATAACAATTTAAATATTTATGTATTGTTTAAAATTCCCCACTATAAGAACACATCATCACTATAGTCCTATTATATGTGATTATAGAAAGGGTTGACTGTATATCAAATTATATTAAAAAAAATAAATAAATAAATAAAAATCTAATAAAATCACCATCAACTTTTCATATTCTTTTCTCATATACACCAGCCATTTTATTTCTGGTGATCCAAATACAAAACATTTTAATTTTTCTAAATTATTCGTTCAATTTTAATTTATCTTATTTAAAATTTCCTAGTTTATCCTTTTCGATAATGAAATTCTTTACTGGAAATTATGATAGAAGAAGATGGTGATGAAGGGGGGAATAATCTCCGGTTAAGAAATATTTATATTCTACTATATTTGAACATTTCTTTCATAAATTTTATAATATTTAATTTTCTAATCTTCAATTTGTTGTTACTATTAAAATAATTTTTTTATCTCACTAATTTCACATTCCTTTCATATTCATCAATGGATTTATTCCTACTCCACCAACCAGCAATAAATATTATTCTTTCAGTTCCTTGCTGATATTCAATTTCTTCAAATTACCACTTTGTATAACGTCACAAATTCTTGCAATCTCATGAAACCATTTTGCTAGAGGATGGGATGATTTGAACTTTTTATACCCAATTCAAAAGTATTTGTATTAGAATATGGTTGAGGTTGGAGAATCCACCAACTATTGAAATAAAAACATCCAAAAAGTTTTTGTAGTCAGAGTGACATTTGGTGTTGAAATTATTTTGGCGAAAATTTATCCTGAACATAATATGAAAAAAAGTAATAAATTTAAACAAACTTTTAAAGCTTTAAAAACCTCTTTGTCACTCAATAATGACTTGTTCTTTCTAAATGAGTTGTCTTTTTTATTTTCTTCTAATTGATCCATAAATTTGCTTAAATCTAATTTTCTAAGTATTTCCATAATAGAGAGTTTAGTTAAACAATTTTAGATTAAACGTATCAATAAAGTCACCATTGATTTCCAAATAATGCCACAAAAGATTTAATTGTAATTGTATTTATAAATTATCATTTCCGATAAGTTACCCATTATACTTGATTAAAAACTAAAGTAATAAAATTGGAAATCTCGTATTGCTGATAATTTTCAAATTTGGATTTTGCAAATGTGACACATAAATAAAACATGATTCTGATAAATTACAAAAATAGCCCGTAGTTATTTGTTAAAACATATAAAAGGAATGAATTTATCAATGATGCCAAATTTGTATAGAATGGACACCTATGGACAAATAAAAAAAACAACAACCGAGATAGATTGCATATTTTCGATGATTTTGAGTATATGATCTCTAAATAACCAAATAAACCAGGTAAACTTTACTCATTTTACCAAGATGGGGAGATTAGCATTAAAACCTTTTAAAATTTGTGCATGCATAATATGCCCTTATCGGTGAAGCGGACAACTTTAAATTCTATAAATATATATTAATTACTATTCATCTGTTCTGTGAGTTTGTGTAGATTAATAGTATAAGAATATGTATGTAGAATAGTAATATTTATACAGTTATTACACGCGATTCATGATGAAAAATAAAAGTATCGCTTACTACTGTTCTTATTGATTATAACAGGTACCATTAATATCAAAAAAAAGGAAATGGTAATTTGATGGAGAGAAAATTATCTCTTTAAGAATTATATTTAAATAATGAAATAATTCGCTTTTTTGCTTTAGATATTTCATTGTGGATGATTATTACTGCAAAAAGTTTAGCGACATGAATAAATGTGATTATAAATGTCATACTATTATTTTTATTTATTTATTCATTAAATAAAACGAGAAGTTCTACAAAATTTTTAAAGTTTGAATTACAAATTTATTTACTTATTATGACATATTGATTTTCTTTATCATTTTATTCATTATTTATTTGTTACGTAATTTCTCGTAAACTTAAAAAAAGCGGAACATTAAAATTTTTAAACGTTAACAATATTTAATCTATTATATCAGCCTAAATTCACGTGACTTTAATATTATTTATATATTCTATATATATGCTATATATTCTCTATACATATATTCTACATACAATTTAAATATAATAATCAAGATATTAAAGATAATGAATATAAAAAGAGAAAAAAAAGAATAGTATTAAAGATTTTGTTCGTATTTTAGCCGTTAAAGCATAATAATTAAATCAATATTGAGGGAATACAATTAAAAGCTTAATTACATATGAATGATTTGAGTTAAATTGGTCTAACGAAATACTAATGTAAAATAACAAAAAGAAGAGATATATAGATGGATGGATAGATAGATAAGATACGAAAGAATGATATCATTATTGAAATTAAATAATAAATCGCGTTTATATTTTTTTATATTGAAAAAAGAAACAGATGAGAATTTAATAAAAATATCATGGAATAATATAAAAATATAAATTAGATAAAAAAACACACACACAAGAGAATGAATTGATAAATTTGTATTTATTAAAGATCGATAAATAGAATATTAATAATCATTTACCTTTTACAAAAGTAGATCCTTGAATGAATAAAGTTTCACGGAAGCGTGTTAGAATTGGCAATAATACTAAGACATTAATAACATAGTATTGTTGTTTTTACTGTTTTTCTCAAAACAATAATAACCTTTTTACGAGTTTGATTGATTGATTTGACCGGTTTGACTAGTGACCGCTGGTTGAACGCAAGTTTATTGTTTTTATTTATCGAAAAAAAAAATTAAGGAGTCAAGAATCAAAGGTGCGTCAATATTTGATAAATAATTTGTAATAAATTTGTACTATTCCTTTCTACGTACAAAAGTCGTATAATAGATAAAACTAAATTATAATAAATGATAATAAATGATATAAATGTAAACTAATTTAGAGAACAGGAAAAGAATATGGTAGTTGGCTAATAAGAAATTGGAAATATTAAATTCTGACAAAATATCTTGTGCTTTCCTTTCATTCTCAATTTGGCGAAAGTGAAAGTAATAATCAAAGGTAATATTTATATTATATTACATACATTAGGTTATTTTCATGAAAAAAATTTATTTGATTTTTTTCTGTTCCAATGAAATCTTCAAATCAACGAAATATTTTAATATTAAACATATATCGTCTCTTTTCGATAATAATATAAATTATTTATTTATTAAAAAGATTTATATTATTTGTGCGTTTCGCATGTATAAAAAAAAAATTCGCAGATGTATGCCGCTATTTACGCGTTGGGAAGATCCATTTTTATTTTGTTATTGCTATAAGTAAAAAAAGGAAATAGAGAAAATAAGCAAAAGTCCGAAAAGCTAAATGAATATACTTGCGCCAAAATAATGAAAAAAAACCCCCACACTTAACGCCAAGCAATTTTAAAGTAAAATTATAATGAATTATTATGTGTAATATATTAGCTCATACTACCACGTATAAATTTTCATGGAAGTATTATTAGTAATGATAAATAGAAAACAGGAAAAAAAATTTTTTTAATTTGAATGCATATTTATATATTATAAAATATTATAAATATTATGAGTAATTTATAAAAAGAATTTCTTTGATTTTAAATATTTTTTTATTATAGATATATGCGATATTACAACATAACCTGCTTCGGTCGTAAATTTTCATTTATTATACATAAATATTGTAATAATTCCCCGAATAAACAGCCTGTTCTATTTATTAGTAGCTAACATATATTTAATGTATAATTTATTGACTGTTAATGTTATTTACGCAGTACACAGAATAATATAGTATAGGACAGTATTAGATAATCTATAATTTATACGAATCAATAATAAACATTACCTTAACTGAGTTAAAACTAGAAAAATAAATTATTTATTTTGATGAGGCTTAAATGTTTAAGTGATGTTTTAATGCTTAAATGTATGGGTGAAAAAAAGAGAACGGAAGAAGGTAGAAGTTATTTTAAATCGATTTCAAAAACTAAAAACAGAAGATTTTTTTCTCGTATTTTACATTACATACATAGATAAGATCGAAAGAAAAAAAACTTTAATTTTATTTATAATTAACTTAATTAACACTTTAATATACTTTAATTATACTTTAATATTATATAGATATAAAAATTTTCGGAATGTTATATGAAATTCCTTTAAGCTTAACCATGGGCAAAAAAGAGATTTAGAATGTCACAATAATAAATAAATAATCTAAAATCATTAAAAATAGGTTTAAAATAATTTTCATCGTAAATTGTGAAGGATGCTGATTAAGAATTTGGAAGGTTTATAGAAAAAAAATCAAAATTAGCGAATAAAAAGATAATTTAGAATAATGGAAAAATAATAATGGAATTGTGGAACAGAAATTGCTTTCAAAAAATATCATGTAAACAAAAAAAACCAGAAATCCCTTTTTTATTTTACAATTATAGTTTGAATGGATCACAACAACAAATTTTACAAGTTTTAGACATACTTTTTTATCATAAAATAGAAGTGGCTTTGAAAATAACACATTATTTTTAATTTTGGGAAAAAAATAATAAAATAATAATAAAACTGTCCAGTTAAACCAATTGAACAATGACAAATAAATTCAGTTGCAATAAAAAAAAGTAATAAAAGAATAAAAGAAGAAAAACAAAATTCACCATTTATCACGTGCACATAAAGCACAATCATTGTTATAGCAAACAATATTTCAAATAATAGGAACCTAGTTAAAAACCTAGTGTTCAAAACCAGGTAATACAACACAAAAATCGGCGTGCATGGTTAAGCTCTTATTATATAATGCATGTTCTATTTCGTCATGGGTAATGAGTGAAATAATTGGGGGTGGCTGCTCATAAAAAATAACCATTTATAAAAAATTTTTACGTGAAAAGTTTTTCTACGCACATAGCCGAATATATAAATACTATTAAATAAATAATTAATAATTGTAGTTATAAATAACGATGATTATAAGTAATGACGATGTAATTATAATAATAACAATAATAATTATAATATATTAAATTAGAAATTATAATAAAGAGATAATGATAATATAAAAAAATAGGGAAATGTAAAAGTAGGCATCCAGTTACATAGTTACATACTTTAAAAATTTTCTAGAAATATCCAATGTATGTATATAACAGCGGATAGCCTAACCCTAAATAATACTAAATGAATTGCTTTATCAAATTCGTTTATAAATCTTTTTTTATCACTAATTCCTTATTTATTCCTTTGTCAACTCGTTTTTGTCAATTCTTTTATTATATAATATGAACATAAAATTTTGATATATATCATTTATTTATTTTATACTGGGTATCCTTGTTCTATTATCATCAATATTTAGATTAGATTATAATTATTTATTTATTCTTTTTTCTTTCAAAGCCACAATTTATTTCAAATTTAAGGAAACAACCGTAAGGTTTTGTTGAATTAATAATAATAAATTAATAACATTAAATTAATTACAGTAATTAAAGAATTATAATTAAAATAACCCTTGAATCGAATATATGAATTATATTTGGTTAGTATAAATATAAATATGATTACTTTATATTACGTATCTAGTTCTCTTTTACGTGTTATTATTTTAGCTTATAATTCATAATAATAATAAATTCTCTCTAATTCATACAAAATACAATATGAATTTTCCAAATTTGTTTCATACATATATAAATAAAATATTTCGATATATAGTTATTATTTTTATTATTATTTAAATTAATAATATTTTTTTTTTTATTAATATTATTAAAAAGGGAAGGAAAAATTGGGCTGATTAGTTGAGCAAAAGAATCAACATACACGCGAAATTATGATGCCATTACTTTGGCGATGGAGTTTAGACAATGATCTGAGTTGAATATTGTCTTGTCAATTGAAATATTGCGTATTTTCTATTATTTTATATTATTTATACTTTATTTATACACTCCATTTAACTCTATACTCTATACTGTATGTTTATATATTGATTTTATTACTTTTAATGTGTGAAGGATATATGCACGCGAATGCTATATTTTAGATATTTAATTCATTAAAAAAAAATTTTTTTAACATTATTAATCATTGTCATTAACCTAAATTAAAACTTGAGATCTTATGACCAATAGACTTTATTATTATTATGATCGTATTATTCTCGTTATTATTATTCTCATTATTATTCTTTTGATCGTATTCTTCTCATTATATTCTTCTTGATAATCTTATTATTGTTCTCAAAAAAATCCTAAAATTATAATAATCAGAATTACATAAAAAATAAATAAATAATAAATTTTTAACGTGTATAACATTTATATATTTATATTAAATGTAATCATATGTAATAAATCAAATGTTTTCACATAGCTAAACGTTATCTTCTTGTTTACGTGTTTTTCTTACTTTTTTTATTCCTTGTTATCCGAATAAAGTTCACAATAGACTTTTACGACTATGCTAGATAATTTTTTTATTTCAATTAATTATATAATTTTCATGTGATTGAAAAAAGGTGAAAACTTACAATCGCAATCGCTAATCTTTAATTTCTAGCAAAAATATTTATATTAATTTCCTATAAATTTCCTTTTCGGCTCGTTCCGCTTGTTTTCTAATTTTATATTATAAAATATAGTGGTAAAGCAATAAAGTTTATATTCATTTGTAGAATATTTCAAATACTAAAGGTAGGAAAAAATTTTAATTTGCTTACAATGAAAATATACAGAAATATGTTTTGTGGTGTGTTCATTATTATATTATTACGACTGCTTTTAACTAATTTTTTTTTGTAACCGGAAAAATTTTTTTTTTCTGGATCCAAAGTCATATAGTTTACTAAAATAGATTATGATAGTTAATATAAGAAAGCATATAAGTCAAGCATTCAATAGTCTTTAAATAGATTAATAGTATTGTATATAATTGGATATTAATATGAAAGAGATAAAATAGGAAATAACCGAATACAGTATCTTAAAAAAAATTGGTTGTGTAAAATGAGTAAATTCAAAATTAATATTTGAAAAATAAATTTTTGAATTCAAGACTAATATTTGAAAAATAAATTTTTGAATTCGAGACTAATATTTGAAAAATAAATTTTTTGAATTCAAAACAAATATTTGAAAATAAATTTTTGAATTCAAAACAAATTCATTCAAGAAATTACGTTAAGTACGTTAAGCAAGTATCAAGAAGAAAGAAACGAAACGAACCACCATTGGTTCTTTATTTGGTCTTAATGTTCCTTTTTTTAATTTTTGTACAGGACAAAATAAGAATGAATTAACAAGAAAGTTTTATACATAATAAATAAGATTAGTTACCAAGCAAAGATACTGTTGTATTCACGAACATGACACGAAAGATAATGTTATTATTTGTCGCGAGGCAACAATTCATTATTTTGGATAGATCTCCTCGTTTACTAAATAAAACATAATTAAACATAATTAAACATATAAAACATAAATTAAACATATAAAACTATAATTACTAGTGGTATAATTAAGATCGATAAGATAAAATTAATATATAAAAATTAAATTATACAGTACGATATATTTATATATATTACATTGATTTGTTTATTTATTTAAAATTTTCACCTTTAAAAAATTAGGGTCAATGCTTTATTGAATATTTCAATTTTGGTCATATATAAAAAATTAATAATTATTATCTACATAATATAAATGTAAATATAAATATATAAGTATATGAAAATATATTATTATATAAATATAGAATGTAATATATATAAACATAGAATTCATTTGTTATTCATATTAATATGTACCCTGGAAATTCTAAAAATATATAAAATGACAGTTAACATGTTGTTCTCAAATTTCAAGTCGTTTAAAATTTTATCCCTTGATCACTCCACCTACACGTTCACAAATATATCGATCATTTTAAAATTTTTTTTTCAATATGCCACCATCCCGTTCATCATCTCGTTCATCATCTCCTTCCCATAAATTACCAATTTCACAAACCCAATCGCAATGTTCTCAAGTAAAAAGTTTTTCTGATGAAGAATCGTCATCATCTTCTCAATCAGAAAAAAAAACGTGCAAAAAAACGACCTAGCATTAATACTCGTGCTTCTCGGGTCGGAGTAACTAATTTTATAAATGTTATCAAAAGTTTACA